CACAAAAGGAGGCTGCCAGGCTCGGCTCAGAGGAGCTCCCATTCAAGGGAGAAACAGGCATGTGGTAGGCACTAACCTGGGATCTTGGGCCATCTAGTCTGGTCTGAGGAACTTGGTCACTCTGCTCTGCAGAGGCTACAGAGAAGGAGAAGGGACTCACGAGAAGGTAGTGGAGATGGGAATGTCAGAGAGCCCATGGAAAGGGCTCTGCCTCTGGGACCAGTTCTGCTGAGGAGTGGTTTTATTTATGTATTTCTCCTTTGTACAAATTCCTTGCTTGTTAATGAAAACCATTTGACACATTTCTAATTAGCCTGCAGCCTCTGCAATCCTATTATTCCCTAATGCAACACCTGGGTTATTTCATGATCCCTATTAACGTTTATGATTCTTGCAGTTGTCCACCAGAATTGGAGTCATTCCTTCTGCTACTTCTGGTGGGACCACAGAGGACTTTCTCTCCCCCTCATCCTGGGGCAGGAGGGTTCGGCCCTGGCTCCATGACTGCAGAAGGAAGCACTGACGGGGACTCACTGCACTGGCCCGCCCTGACCCTAGACAAGTCACCCCCTTTGTCTGTGCTCTAGCCCTGTACCCATTTATCAAGTGCTTGGCTGCAAAGAGAAGAGCATGTTTCATGGAGTACCCTGTCTTTTTTCCTCCCTCCCTCTTTCTCTCCTTTCCTTCCATCAACAAATACCTATGGAATCGTATTCCAAGGGGTTTAAACAAACAAACAAAAAACCAAATACTACACACTAACAAGCATGTACTATTTGCCACTACTATAAGCACCGGGGAAACAGTGGTAAACAAAATATACAAGAACCTCAATGGCAGAAACTAATAAGTAATAAACCAGGGTTATCAGACAAATGGGGGTGGAGGATTGACAATAAGAAAACTGCCAAGTTCCTTTCAAAGAGCTAAGTCCTTTCCTTCATCTATAATGGTTTATAGAAACTCACCTTATAAATATCTTTTCCTTAGAGACAATTGGAGCATTGAGTGTTCTCAGCTGGCAGTGGGCAGCGCATGCTCCACTTGATGCTGGCACCTCCGCGGGCATCAGTCTCCTCCCCTGTGGAAGAGGGATGATTGCGTCTTCCTCACAGGGTCGTTGTGAGTATTCTGAGATCGTGTATCAGCACATTGCCTGTTGCATGGTAACATACATTCTTTCCACCATCCTTGCCTTCTTTCCTGCTTAGAGCAGACACAGCCTGGTAAGAGTGTCTAATCAGGTCCCCTCCTTACCTTCTGGGCCCTGCTGCTACAGACAGAGCAAGAGCTTCTGAGCTGGTCCAGCATCTTAAACAAAGGTAATGAATGGGAGGCTGGGGCCCTGCTCTGTACCTCTCCCCTGCCTTGCCTCCAGCTGCTCAGCAGAGGCTCTGGAAGAGGCAGCCACCCACCCACAGACGGGACAGTCTATGACTGCTGGACATTAGCCATGCCAGAGAGGCTTTCCTCAGATCTGTTCTTGGCAGCAATAGTCAGCAATCCCTTTCAGGAGGCCCCTTTCACCTCCAGCAGCCAGCAACAGCCTACAGGAGAGAGCCCCCCACTGTCCGGGGTACTGGGGTGCTTACTAGGCACTGAATTTTACAACACTGTATTTCATCCTGTCTTTCCCAACAAGGCTGTGAAGTAAGGGCTATCAGTGCCCCATTTTGCAGTTGAGGAAACTGAGGTTAAGAGTTTGCCCGAGCCACTTTCTTAATTTGTGACAGGGTCAGCATTCAAGTTCAGGTTGTCCATCTCCAGAGCCAGGGCCTTACACTGAGCTGTACTCTTTCCCCCTCGGTTATCCACGCCTCTGCAACCCCCACACCAAAGGCACAGGAGGCAGAGCAGCACTCCCTGGTGGATCTGGGAGTCCCAGGGGCATGTGGCACTTTTCCCAGCTTACCCTGAGTGCTGGCTTTAACAGCTTTAAAACAATGTGAACTGTGCCTACGAGAAATGCTGAAAGGAAGGAAATGCAAGTTCAAAGTGGCACAGTTGATGGGACCCCCCCAGGACATCTTGTATCCCTCCTTTTATAGAGGAGAAAATGGAGAACTGAGGGCAGGGGAAGTGAGGCTCCTGCATACAGAAATTTTGACCACATTGCAGATTTCCCAGTGGCCTCCGAAGCCCTGCACTGGTACCCAGACACAAGCGTTGAAAATGGCACAGGACTTAAACCGAGCTTCACCGCTTACTTGCTGTAGGATTCCAGGCAAGTTGAGTGGCCTCTGAGCTTCAGCATTGTCATCTGCAGTTGGGGATACGATCATCCTTAGCTCAGGATTGTAGGGGCTTTAGAGACAGTATATGCGAAGTGGTGGCATGGTGGCTGGCACGTGTAGGTACTGAGTAAACTGTAGCTATTATGATGACTTGTTTTCAAAGTTCAGCATATGTGAAGAAACAGTGACTCCCTTAGATGTTGCTGTGATTCTGTGGTGCTGCTGGAGTCCATTCCTAGCACTAGAGGGGAAACAACACTCATGGTCATTTCTGAGCCTTGAAACCTATTCCAGGGAGGGCCAGTTCTGTACCCACTTCAGGTATTAGAATCTGAAACAAAGACCACAGACTGCAGCCATGGTGGTGACTCCTGGTCTCTGGCTCTACCAGAGTGCCTGTGACTTCAGGCACGTTACCCCACCTCTGTCTATATGGAATTCCTGTCAGCCAAATGAGCATGGTCATTACCCCCACCCCATCTCCGTCATCCCCTAGGAAGGTGCCCATCTAAGGAAGAGCTGTGGTGAAGTCATCTAGAGAGGCTACACTCCACTTCTGTGCAGCCTTTCCTGTGGTGGAGGCCAAGAAAGCCTTCTCTTGGGAAGAGAACTACTAAGGAGTGACCATTTGGGGCAGATAGATAGCATCCTCACCACTGAGCCCTGGGCAGGAACTGGTGAGACGTTAGAAACGCTGCCACATACCAGCCCATCCCACCCTCCCTCCTTCCCCCCATGGAGCCTTCCTTTTGAAGTTACCAGAAGCCCCATCAGCCTGGGTTCAGTCAGCATGGTCCAGCTTCATCCCTGTGATGAGGGGTGAGTTTGGAGCCTTTCACCAGGAGGCGATGTGATGTCTCCAGATCCCACAACCAAAGGCAACTAGATATCCACAGACCAGGCTGGGATGAGGGGAGCAGCCTATGACAACAGGGCTACTCCCCAAGTCTTTCACCGGGCTCACCTGAGAGATGCGTGAAAATGGGGGCATCAGGAGGGGAGTTCCCTTACATTTTCTTGGTTGACCTGAGAGGTCTGTGGAGCCTGATTCCTAAGGAGCGAGGTCTTTCCTGGCCTCCCACAGATGGCATGACCACTGGATCTGCCCCATGATTCCTGTGGAAACAAACGGTGGCTTCCCAGTGGTTTTCTCCAACTATGCAAACAAGCCCTGGCTCCTAGTGCATTAATCTCCCCAGGCAAGAGAGACCTGAGAGAGCGTCTGGCATCTCCACGCCCCTGCCCCTGCCACACCTTGCTCCTGAAACTCTCTGCTACTTGGGTAGACCCTTTGTGAGGCCCTCTTTTGTGCATTCTCTTCTTTCGAGGTCCCATTCCTGCTTGGGTCACTTTTGAACTAGTCTAAGTGTCCTCATGATAGGCTTCTGAGTGAGGGTATCGAAGTTACAGTGATGACCCTGGGTTTTCTGCAGCAAAAACCCAACTAGGGGTTTCTTCACTTCAACAGAAATGTATTGATTATGCGTGCGCTTCAGTCTCGAGTGCTGGAGAAATCGTGAAACACCAACTGATTTTACTTCTGTCTCTCAGGGTGGTGCTCATGGGACGCTTGTGGGGGGCATGATGCTGTGACCTCAGTTTGCCTGATTTCCCAGGTGGCTTCATTTGGAGGCTGGACCCTATGTGGGTGTTTGGAGGAGCCATGGTGTCCAGCAGTGCCAGCAGGAAGCAGACTCCTCACCAGCTCTTTCTGTGGCATTCAGGGACCTACTGAGTCCAGACTCACCCAGGCTGGCCGACCTCAACTCCCATCAAATCCTAGGACCACTGCAATCCCAGGAAGCTTTGCAAGGCCTATTCCTGCAGTCCCTCCCCTCCCCTCACCTCCCCCTTCCTTGCTTTTTAAGTGATTCGTCCACCCTCTATGAGAGCTTTCCCAAAGACCACCTTACAATAAATTATTTCTTCCTCTGTTAGATCCCTACTTTGTTGTTACACATCTATTCATTGAGCGCTCTGTGCCCTACCCTGTGCTGGTCTCCTAAAAACTCATCTAAGCCACTTGCCTTCCACCTGGAGTGAGGGTAGTTCGTGCCTGATTCTCAGTGCCTCCAGTGCTGGGGCAGAATCTCAATGTCTGTGTCCTCTCACCACTGCGTTTTGCACTTCGTCAAAAGGTGTCACATGGAGAGATGGCTTGTAGACTGGGCTCTGCCCACTAATTAGCTGTGTGGCCTCGGGAGAATCATCCGGGCTCTCTGGCTTCCCTTCTTTCCGATGAAATAATGCTGACGATGATATTTCAGGGTTGTCCAGGGGTCAATGAGGCGGGATGCAAGGAAGCATCGTGACATCTGGGAGCCCCAGGCCAGTGAAAAATGTGGAATGGCTGTACCCCCACTCTCCTAGCACTGGGTGTGAGGCAGCATCGTTTCCCCTTCGCTCTCTTCGAATGTCAAGTGCACCAGCTTCCAATCCCTCCTCTGGGCGGGCCTTGTCTGGGCTAATCTCGGCTGTAGATTCCAGTACAAACTCAGGACTCTCCCCCACCCAGCCGCCCCTACCCAAGGACTCGCCAAACACACCTTGAATCCCGCGCCAGAGCGCAGCCCGGAACTGCAGCTCTGCGGTGCGGGCCCAGATCGGGGGTCGCGCGTCTCCAGCCGGTGACTCAGGGCCGCTCGGTCCAGGAGTGGGTGTGGGTAGGCGGGACCGACCAGGGCCGCGCAGGGGCAGCTGCCGGGCGTTCAGTCACCTAGCGGTGGGAGCCGAGGCTGGCTCTGGCGAGTCGCCATTCTGCCGCCGGCGTCTGTCTCGCCAGGTTCCCGGGCGCGGGAGGAAGGCCCGCGCCGCTTCCCACCCGGCGCGCTTCTCTTCCAGTGCGCAGTGGCCGGGTGGGTCGGCCGGAGATGACTGGAGCGCGGGGCTGGCCCTGCGCGCGAATGAATGGGCGCCTTGGGGACGCGCGCGCTCGGGGCTGAAGGGCATTAGGACCGTGAGGATCGCTCTGCGCTCCGTCTCTCCCTAACAGCCGCCCCCCCCCCCCCCCCCCGCCAATCTCTCTCCTTTTTCTGCTCTGCAGGACTGAGCAGCTAGGCGCGAGCGAAAACAAACAGCTGGGGCTGCGAGCGCCCCCGCCCCGGCCCCGAGATCACGCCGGCCCCGGCCCCCATCCCGGGCGCCCGTCTGTCCACCATGAGGAAGATCCGCGCCAATGCCATCGCCATCCTGACCGTAGCCTGGATCCTGGGCACTTTCTACTACTTATGGCAGGACAACCGAGCCCACGCAGCATCCTCCAGCGGCCGGGGGGCGCAGAGGGCCGGAGGGAGGCCGGAGCAGCTCCGCGAGGACCGCACCATCCCGCTCATTGTGAGTATGCCCCGAGCGCAGGGCTGCGGGCTAGGGAGCAGCTGCGCGCGTCCAGCCCCTGCGCGGCGGCCGAGGGCGCGGGGCCCGGCCAGGGGCTGAGTACCCGCTGCGCTGGTCGGGCTTTGTATATGTTGGAGCATTCCTGCCCGTTGTTATGGCAACCTCTGCCTGGCGGCAAGGCCGGGGCGCACCGACTAAGGGAGGGTGACAGCGGGTGGGGGCTGGGAGAAAGTGCTGCAAGTTTGGTGGGCCCGGCGTGCGCGCGCGGCTGGGAACGTGGCGGCTCTCCACGCTCTGCGCTGCCCGGGCCGGGGTCCGGGGGGCTGCAGGAGCCTTGTGTGCCCCGGAAGGCGGCCGGACCCAGCGCGGTGCCAGCGGGCGGTGGCAGCCACTCGCAGCTGAGCGTGTAGGTGGCAGTGCGCAGCCCCTCTCCCTTCTGGGGGCAAAGGACATCGGGTGGGGGGCGTGGGTAGGGAAGGCTCTTTAGGCGCTGCGCCTGGCTTCGCGCCCCCTTCTGAGCCCGGGTCAACTTGAACCTGCTTCTTCGGCGAGGATACCCAACTCCCCCAGAATTCTCTGGGTTGGGGAGAGGTCTCGTCCTGTACCAGTCTCTCACTCCCAACATTAGGGTCCGCTACCACGGGTAGGCGGGCGGTGTCGGCGCCCAGGCTTGGCGATATCCTTGCGTGAAGTCAGCCTCGCGACATCTAAACGGGCGGAGAAACAAAGGCGGTGTGGCACAGCGGGGGCGGCGGCGGGGCTGCGGGGGCCCTTGACACTCTGGGGACCCGGGCGGGGGTGTGCGGAGCCGCAGCCGCCCTGCAGGGGGCGATCCTGCTGCCGTCTCTGTCCGAGTCCCAGGTGACTGAGCTATGTGTGGCCAGGCAGGAGCACCTGTTGAGGCGGGAGGCTTTGGCACCTGCCGAGAGCGCGCTCGGGCAGGCGCGTTCTTCCAGACTGGGCGGTTGGTGGTCCGGAGCCTCGGGCGACCCTCGGGACCTACCAGGGCGGGGCAGCCTGGTCAGATGAGGACTAGGAAGAGGAGAGCCGAGTGGGACGGGGGGAGGGAATGAGGGAGCGTGGCGATTCCGACAAGGAAAGATCTGGGCTTGGGGGAGAAGGGGTGAGGAGCTCCTCGGGGAGGTGCAAGGTCCGGAGGGCTGAGGCTTGTCCGTGGAAACGAATCTGAGGAAAGCGTCCAGAGGCAGAGCTGAATCCGGGAATATCGAGAAGTTCACTGGAGAGCGTCCCCTCATATTCCCATCCCGCCCCACATTCCGAGTCCCCTGTAAAGGAACCATTATTTCAGGTTTTGCCTGAGGAGACTGGCGGGGTGGGGTTGTGGGTTTTGTCCTAGATCCCGGTCTGGGCGAACTCTGAGGGCAAGCCTGATTAGGTGCAGTGTTCCCTTCTGGGCAGTTCTCCCAGGACAGTTTCCAAAGCACTTGTCGCCGTTTGGACAGAAAGCTGATGAGGAAAAGCCTCCTGTGCTGAGACCCCAGAGTGTTATGATCTGAGCAGAGGGACAGGTTGGAGCTGGAGCTGTCCAAACCAGCAGTGGTCCCCAGACCCCAGGGAGCTTCCTCCCCAGGAGCCCAAGCTGCCAATTCATACTCTTTAGAGGAACAGCCCTGGTCTCAGGCAAGGCAGGCTGGCCAGATGCTCTGTCCCTCTTTCCAGTGAAACGATGGGAGGAGGGAGTTGGAAGGGGAAGAGAAAGAGGCTGGGCAGGGAGGAGAGGAGGGAAGAGGGCTGAGGGGACTGCTGCTTTGGAACCCGGAACCTGAACCCTGAGCCTGGAACCCGGAACCTGGCCCATGCACCTCTCTCCTGCTCCTTCCAGAGTCCTGCAAATCCACTGGGAGGGCCGCACACATTTCTCAAGAGTCTCAGAATGGCGTAGGGGACCGCGCTGGAAGGATTCAGCACTCATTTTGAGGGGTGGGAATCGGAGGTCATGAGAGTCACTAGTAAACGTCCTCTTGTCCCTGCTTATTCCCACAGGGTTTGGCTTGCTGCAGGTAAGAAAAGGGCTCATAGCGGCAAGCTAAGCTTAAAGTATGAAGGAGTATCAGGGAGATACCTGGAAGCTGGGAAGTGAAGGTGCAGAAGAAAGGGAGGACGGAAGTCCCCCGGAGTGGGAGAGCCTTCTGTGGCCACTTAGGGGCACAGCCAGCTCCCTCTTTGTTCTTAAGCTTTAGCCCTCATGCCTGTTCCACCAGCACTGGCCCCCAGTCACGCACCACCTTTGACACTGCCTTGCATTGTATCATTGTAGTTCTCTCTTCCAATTACTTCACTTCCATGTGATTTGCAGCTGAATGTAAGTGATGCATACAGGAACTATGCTGGAAGCTCTTTGCAGCCCCACACTGATGCACACAGCAAGACTTTTTGTTTTTTTGAGATGGAGTCTCACTCTGTCTCCCATGCTGGAGTAAGGTGGCCTGATCTTGGCTCACTGCAACCTCCACCTGCCTGGTTCAAGTGATTCTCGTGCCTCAGGCTCTCGAACAGCTGGGACTACAGGCATTCGTCATCACTCCCAGCTAATTTTTGTTATCTTTAGTAGAGACAGGGTTCCACTGTTGCCCAGGCTGGTTTCCAACTCCTGAATTCATGTGATCTGCCCACCTTGGCCTCCCAAAGTGCACAGAGACTTCTTAAAGGAGTGAAATAAGATTCTTACTCATTTCTGGGAGCAGTCAATGCTTCACATCCCTTTAATGTTATGATATTATATTCATATCACCTTAATATTTTATTCCCAGTTGTAACCTGGCTCTAAGTAAGGAGGTAGGGGGATACATGTTCAAGCAGACATTAAACCCTTTGTTCAACTTAAAAGGGGCAGGTGCAGCTAGGGATTTACTTTTTCCCTGCAATTTGTGGTAACCACTTATTCAGAAACATTTTTCTGCCTAGCTGGGCCAGGACACTGCATGTGGATTTTCAGATTCCTAGAGAATGATGTGGCTAGCCCTGCTGTCCGAGGCTGGCAAATTCAGATAGGCGTCATCATCACTCCCCTGGGGAATCAGAAAGCTGAACTGGGAAAGGGAGGGTCTGCAGAAGTGCCTGGACCTGGAGGCAGCTCTGCTTTCACAATGACTGGGCTATCTGAAGCCAGCCAAGTTGCTTCTGGACCTTGGAGATGCTTGTTTGGCATTATAGGGTGTCGGCATGGCAACCGTGTGGCCAGATTTCTCGAGGAGGTCCTGATTTTTAATATTCTGTCCTGCTGTCAGCCCATGTGTCACCAATTTTGATGCAAACAATTTGGTTATGGAATCTGTAAAGCTAAAGGGAGATACTGATTCCATCCCTATATGGCTGCTTACGATGCAGCAAGGTTTGTGATTTTTCTGTGCCATACTTGACAGGCAAGGCAGTAGATTTGGGGACATCTCCTTGAATCTACACAGATGCATGCTGGCACAGGACAGCAGCCAAACTGGGAGGCAGGGCAGCCACGGCTGGCCTTGAATCTTCAGTCCTCACAGCTGGGGAGAACATTTGTGGTTGTTTTGGTCTGGGACTCAGGTTTTCCATATGCCAGTTCACTAACAGGCATGGGTGGGAGGCTAAGGTGTTACATGGAATATCACTTTACATTTTTTAAAAAGACTATTCATTATGGGTATTTTCAGTATAGGTGTACTCATTTGTGTCAACAGTCTCCTATTTAGAACTGTGAAAGATTTAGGCAAGAGTTTTCCTAAACCAGAGTTTCCTAGCTTGAAATTGGCATGCCGCTGAATGGCCATGGACAAAATACTTAACATCTCTAGACCTCTGTTATTTTGTGGGCTGAAGTTGAGTTCAAAGATTTGCAAGGTTTGTTGATCCTGAGATAAGCAGATGACAGCTCCGTTTCTAGGAGTAAGTACATGGCTTCAAGGGAGTTCTCCCAAAGAGTGTTATGAAGCTTCTGCCTATGGAGGGACCTGTTCCTGTCAGGGGAAGGTCCTGCAGGAGCCCTTGAGGCCTTGCAGGAAGCCCCACTTACCTAGCAGAAGGGGATGTAAATGATGGCTTTTCTGGTAGTGTTCTCAGACAGCAAATGCTTTAATAAGATCTAGGGGAATTTATATTTTATTTATAATGTGTGCATTTTGGAACTGTGGGAATATGATTTGCCTAAATATAATAACAGAAAGTGATTTTGTATTTAATTGGTTTAGGTACCACACTTGAGAAAGCGAGTGAGGAGGAAGAAGCACAAACACCCACAATTCCCTTTGCCAAAATGTTTGGATTTTTCTTTTCTTTTCTTTTCCTCTTTCTTTCTCTCTTTCTTTCTTTCTTTCCTTCCTTCCTTCCTTCTTTCTCCTCCTTCCTTCCTTCCCTCCCTCCCTCCCTCCTTCCTTCCTTCCTTCTTTCCTTCCTTCCTTCCTTCTCTCTCTCTCTTTCTTTCTTCCTCTTTCTTTCTTTCTTTCTTTATTGACACAAGCTCTCTGTCACTCAGGCTGGAGTTCAGTGGCACAAACATGATTCACTGCAACCTTCACCTCTTGGGCTCAAGCGGTTGATTCCCCTGCCTCAGCCTCCTGAGTAGCTAGGACTACAAGTGCGCACCACCGCACCTGGCTAATTTTTATATTTTTTTGTAGAGATAGGGTCTTGCCATGCTGCCCAGGCTTGTCTTGAACTCCTGAACTTAAGGGGATCCCCCCACCTTGGAGGATTTGGGGACGAATCCTCCCCAAAGTGCTGGGATTACAGGTGTGAGCCACCATGCCTGGCCAAAAATGTTCCGATACAAAGGGCCTGATTTCCTGTCAATGGGTTCTGTTCCTGGGCCATTTAGAGACCTACCTCGGGGACAGGGGGTCAGCCCAGAGGCAACCAAGACTGGGGGTGGGGAGGTGAGCTGGCAGCCCAAGAGTCACTTTCCTGGAAGGCCAGAGGTCCAAGGGCACAGGACTAGTTTTAGGGTGCTGTTCATTCTTCTGCAGATCTTTTATTTCTGTGCTGTAACAGCAATTCCCCTCATCCTC